TTTTTAGTTGTCCGATTAATTTCTTTCTATTTTTAGTAGAGACGGGGTCTCGCTCTTGCTCAGGCTGGTCTCGAACTCCTGAGCTCAAACAATCCGTGCCCTCCTCGGCCTCCCAAAGTGCTAGGATTACAGGCGTGAGCCACCGCGCCCGGCCTGATATTCTGACTCTTTCCAACATGTTAAATATATTTTGGTCTACAAACCAGTTACTAGGACCAAGACCAAAATTTTTGTCTCAAACTTACTGTTTTATGTTTTGTTTACTTAAATATTTTCAACATTGCTCTCACTCTCAGTAAATTTTCTCCAGTAGAGGCCCCCACTTGAGCAAGTCACTGTCTTCACAGTCATTTGATTTTTTTAAATTACTTCCCATTTTCTTGATATGATAGTTTCTTGGACTTTATGATATTCAAGATAATGACCTCTTATGTCTTATTTCTCAGATTATACACTAAGCCTAACTTCTGGTTCCTAGGTAAGTCAGTAATGTTGTACGCAGCGGAAATGATACCTAAACTAAAAACAAGGACACAAAAAACAGGAGTTGGTGACCAAAGTCTTCAGCAAGGAGAGGGAAGTAAAAAAGGGAAAGGAAAGAAGAAGAAGTGACTTACTATGAGCATCATTTATGTGATAGTACTCCAAGAGCCATGAACGGAGGCTTCCAATTTGCATCTGAGAGAAGCAGAAGCTCTTTGTTTGCATTATTTTACTGAACTATGCACACTTGCGCCTCCCATCATCATCAGAGTTGACAATGAAATAAATGTACATCAGAACTTTGCATCTAGCTTTTATGCAGTAAAAAAAATTTTTTTTGTCTTTCAATGTAGAGTTTTTGTGGAAGGAAGAATTTTTTTTTTTTTTTATTTCAGCATATTCTGGGGGTACAGATGTTTAGGTTACATATGTTGCCCTTAACTCCCCGCCCCGCCAGAAGAATATTTTTAAATGGACAATGGACTATACAATAAGTTACTTGAAATCCTGTATCTGTTTGTCTTCTTTGTAAATGTATGTTTCAGATAAGTTTAATGAGATTGGAAATACACATTTTGTTCACCTTTTAAGTTAATGAAATAAAATTTGGAACTGACTCTTGCAGCTTTTGCTTATGAACTAATTAATGCCAGTAGAGGAGATAATTAAAGAGAATAGGTAACGGGAGTTTCTACAGTGAGCCTAAACTAGAAGAAAGTGGTAAGTCCTCTTGTGGGGAGGAGGGGGGGGTCTATGAACAGCCAGTCTGTAGATCATATTCTTTTAATCTGTTATTATAATTGAATTGTTCAATTCCTAGTTTTTTGTCATATGAAAAGTCCTGGATTTTAAGCTTTAAATTTGTTTATTTTATAGGTTTAAGAACGTTATTTTCATTGAAGTTCTAAAATTACCTATGCTTTTAGCACCTTGAGGTACACTTTCTTTCAAGAAACTAAATTGAGTTGGTGCTTCTGAATTTATTTCAAAGCACTGTTTCTGAAAGCGGTGATTTTGAGCTATCCTGATTCTTGTTCTTCCTGAGGCCTGGTTTAGCTTTTCCTTGAATTCTGTGAGCTACCTCATATATTAATACTTCCAGTAAATGCTGTTTTCTTTAAATTTTTATTGCCTGAGGTCAAACAATCCCAATTGATTTCAAAATAAGCAAACCCAGAATTATGGAGCTTTAAATGGTAGTATACATCCTGTCTGTATGAAGATGATCTATTGGTGTGCGAGATGAAGTGTTAGAATTTCTACTTATTTTTTCACTCTAACAATCTCTGTTATGTTTTATAGTGAACATAATAGTATAGCAGTTTATATATTTGACTTACAAATAAATATTGGGGGAGTATGTGTAAAACAATTCTTAGCAACCCTTTTTGGGAAAATTATCACTAAAGAATGTGTTTGTGTAACAGAAAACAGAGACTTGAGCTAGAGTTTATTTTATTTTATTTTATTTTTTTGAATAACTTGAAATCCAAAGAAGGTTGTTATAGGTGCTGGTTCAGCTCTCAGTGATGCCTTTGTATTTTTTTTTTTTTATTTCAGCATATTATGGGGGCACAGATGTTTAGGTTACGTATGTTGCCCTTGCCCCCCCTCCCCCCAAAACCCAGAGTTTCAAACATGTCCATTCTTCGGGTGGTGCGCATTGCACTCTTTGTGTATGCAAATACCTGTACCCTCCTCCCTCCTCCCTCCTCCCCTTCTTTGTATTTTTTCACTCCCATTTTCCGTGGCATATTTCTGACAGCCTTATGATTGATGTCTCAAGCTTGTAAATAGGCTGACACATAAGAGTTCAAGAAGAAAAGATAGCTGTGCCAGCCACTTTTGTCCTCCTTTAAAAGGAAAGCAAGAGATTTCTCAGAATTCCTCTCAGCAGACTTTCGCTTAAGTTTTATTGTTGACAGCTGTGGCACATGTCCATCTCTGGCTGCAAAGGAAGCTGGGAAAATGAATGCAGTAGTACCCCTCATCCACAGGAAACACATTCCAGAACTCCCAGTGGATGCCTACAACAGTGCATAGTAACAAACCCTCTATGTATTTTTTTCCTATGCTTACATACGTATGATGAAGTTTTAATTTATAAGTTAGGCATAGTAAGATATTATCAACAATAACTAACAAAATAGAACAGTTATACTGTATAAAAGTTACGTGAATGTGATCAAAGTAATTTCACTGTACTGTGCTTGCCTGTTTTCAGGCCTCGGTTGACTATGGGTAATGGGAACCACGGGAAGTGAAACCACAGATAAGGGAGACTACTGCTGTTCAGAGCTTTTTCAGTTGCGACAGTCAAAGCAGTTATGGAAGAAAGTAGCTGAGAATGCATACTGGGGTAGCTCATTTAAAAGATTTGTCATAAAATGATGACTGGAATCTAAAACTGTTTTAGTTATGGGGCAATAAGGATTGTCAGTGCTGTGGTTTGTCCCTTCCAAAACTCATGTTGAAATTTAATTGCCACTGTGTTGTTATTGAGAGGTGGATGGTGATCGGGCCATGGGGACTCCGACTTCTAAATGGAGTAATATCATCTCAGGAGTGGGTTTGTTACAAAATGGAATTTGGCTAACTCTTGCTGTCTTGAGCACACCCCTTTGCCTTTCCACCTTCCACCATGGGATGATGCAGCATGAAGGCCTTTGCCAGATTTTGGCACCATGCTCTTGGATTTCCTGGTCTCCAACCATAAACCAAATACATTTCTATTCATTATAAATTACCCAGTCTGTGGTATTCTGTTGTATAGCAACATAAAACACTAAAATAGAGAATGTTTGAGAACTATTATTGTAACAGTGTATTGTTTCTTCACATTGTTGAAATTGGTGCAAAATCAAACTTTTCTTTTTTGCCAATTGATAAGTGAAAAATGGAATCTTTAAAAAGTTTTTTAATTTGAAAAAATTTTTGTAGAGATGCGGTCTCACTGTGTTGCCTAGGCTGGACTCAAAACTCCTGGGTGAAGCAACCCTGCCTAGTAGCTGGGACTATAGGCACACTCCACCTTGCCTGGCTGAAAAATGGAATCTTAATGAACAAGGCTGTGAGCATTTCTTCATATGCTCAAATGCTGTTTGTATCCATTTCAATGATTTGTGTTCACATCCCCTGCCCACTTTTTAAGAACTTTATCAAAATTACACTTGTACATAATTTAAAGAGCCAGCTAGTTTTAACAGTTTCAGTTTTAGGCATTAACTTCCGTCTGTAGAAGAAGAGGATCCAGTTTTCCTTCATCTTTTCTACCCCGTGACACATGTGCACATTTCTCATCTTTCCATTCTACCAATGTATTTCATAATTTTAATCACTGTTCAGAGTTTATGTTTTAGCGTACATTGCATTGACACCGAGTCATTTAGCACCTTTGCTACTCAAAAGTATGATCTGGGGACCAGTAGCACTGGCCTCCCCTGAAAGCTTGTGAAAAATGCAGTATCTTTGGCCCTAGCACAGAATTCTAATGCATGGAACAAGATCTCCAGGTGATTCTTCTGCACATTAAAGTTTGAGAAACACTAAAGTACGCTATGGTTATCTTAGTTTTTCTGGACTTCTTATTTTCTTTGGAATTAAATATTCTTTCATTTGCTTAGATTTCTAAATACCACTAATTGAATCACAGATTATCAGTTGTCAGAATGTCCTTTCAAAAAGCTCATTCACATCAAGTAGTTTATTCATTTCATCTTTATTTTGAGACAGTGTCTCACTCTGTTGCCCAGGTTATATAGTGTGGTGGTGTTATAGCTCAAACGCCTGAGTTCAAGTGATCCGTCTCCGCCTCCTGCGTAGCTGGGATTATAGACATGAGCCACTGCATCCAGCCAACCTGGCTCTAATCCCTTATCCTTTAGACCTAGTGCACAGCTTCACTCTGGATTCTCTCCACACTGTGATATGGAGTGTGACTCAGTTTCACACTTTGCTGTTTTGGAGGTGTGTACTCTTGTATCCCATGTCTTGTTTTTTGCATTACTCCTTTGTGTAGCTCATCTTCAGGATCTTCCTGAGAAAAGTGCAAGGGAGGTCAATGTTCTTAGACCCTACATATCTGAAAATGTCATGTTGCCCTTACATTGTTTGGCTGGGTATAGGATTAGAATTGGAGATCATTTTGTTTCAGAAGGTCAAGGTTATTGCTTCACATTCCTCCAATCTCTTGTAGCTAAAGGGAAGTTCAAACCATTCTTGTTCACAATCATGATTTTGGTTCTCAGTATTCTGAAATATCACAATATTGTATGGGTCTTTTTTGCTCGTTGTGCTGGGTAACACAATCTGGGAATTTGCATTCTTCAGTTCAAGCAAATTTTTCTCAAAATTTCATTGATGATTTTTCTCCCCTTCTGACCTTTCTTGGAACTCCTTATTTGAATATTAGAACTGCTGGCATTGTCCTCAAATTTTCTTTTTTCCGCTCTTATTTACTTTTCTTTTCCTTTGTAGTCTCGTCTTAGATTTCTTCAGCTTCATCTTCCAACCTTTCTATTGGATTTTCCATTTATGTTTTCAGCTTCTCTAAGCAGTTTTTTGTTACCTGCATGTTTCCTTTTTCTAGCACTCTATTCTTATATTTCATGGATGTAGCTTCTTATTTCTCAGAAGGTATGTATTATATTCTTACCATTTTCAAGTCCCTTTTTTTCTGTTTTTATTTTGATCCCTGTCATATTAAGTGGCTTGCTGGTTTAAGAGTGAAAGACCAAAAGTTTATTGGAAGTTCTGAACACATAAGAAGGGTTTGCAACCTGTGTGCTTCACTAAATCCTCCGAAAGGCATCTGGCTGGGATGCCTTTGGGAGAATTTCCAACATCAGAGGTGATCCACTTCCCCAGAGAGGAGTCTTACAATATTCCAGGAGGATAAAGTCTGCTTGTTAGGGTTCTGGAAGCCTAGTGGGAGAAGGCTAGGTGGGGGGAATTGGTCTCAGCATTTAGTCATTCCATCCTGTTTTAAATACAATCTCTCTGTCTCAACTCTGCCTGTTTCCCACTCCAGAGATCCTCTTACTATCTCCAGAGGATAAACCTCCAGTTTGGGGGGGTTTTTTGTTTTGTTTTGTTTTGTTTACCTGGATGGGGATAGAGAGTAGTTTTTCACCAATCCTCCTTCCTTTAGCTACCTTCCAACATTAACCATGATCGTGCCACTGCACTCCAGCCTGGGCAACAGAGTGAGACTCTGTCTCTTTTATAAAAAAAAAAAAAATTGCTCTTTGCAATTTTCCGGTGTTTGGGGGTGGTCTCTACACAGTCAAAGATAGACTAGGCATGGTAGGCAGAATGATGTCCGTCTCAGAGATGTCCACATTGTCATCCCCGAGACCTGTAACTATGTTAACCTTTCATGGCAAAAAGGACTTTGCAGATGTGATTATGAATCTTGAGTTGAAGAGATTATGCTAGATTATCCAGGTGAGCCTAATTTCACAAGGGTCCTTGTAAGAGGGAGACAGGAAAGCCAGAGTCAGAAGGAGTTGTGATGACAGAAGTGGAAGGCAGAGTGATGGGACCACGAGCCAAGGAACGCAGGCAGTGTCTTGAGGTTGGAAAAGGCAAGGAAATGAGTTCAACTCTAGAGTCTCCAAAAGAAATGCAGCCCAGCCAACCGATTTTGAATGTTCAACCTCCAGATAATACATACGTGTAGTTTTAGGCCTCTAAATTTTTGGCAATTTCTTACAGCAGCAGTGGGAAACTGATACACCAGTTGAACTAAGTATTAATAGCTAGGAAACTCTCCAGACCTTGGGATTTTTGCCCTCATTAGCAGTCTCTACCAGTGGTTCTCAACCCTGGCAACATACTAGAATCACCTGAAGAGTTTATAAAGCGTATTGGTACCACAGTAGGCTGATTAAATCAGAATTTCTCCTAGTGGGGACAGATATCAGTAGTTTTGGAAAGGTTCTCAGGTGATTCTAACGTGCAGCCAGGTCTGAAAACCTCTGTGTACTAAGTGTAAAGATAGCATTTACCTAACCCAGTGGTTTTATCTGATTTCTGGACCATCAACATCACCTGGGGTGTTGAAAATGCAAAATTTGCAGCCCCTTCCCAGACATAGTCAGAAACTTTGAGGATAGGGCCTAGCAATCTGTTTTAATAACATTCCCCCATCCTCATCCCCATAAACTCTGATGCACACTGAAGTTTGAGGACCATTAATCTAACCAAAGAAATTCCTTAAATTCTCTATGAGGTTTGTGTTGTAAGATTCTTTAAGAGTTATAGTAATGAGCCAGAAAAAAAATTTTTTTTGGCATGGACTCACTTTGTTGCCCAGGCATGAGGACAGTGCCATGATCATAGCTCACTGCAACCTCAAACTTCTGGGCTTAAGCAATCCTCCTGCCTTAAACTCCCACGTAGCTGGGAGCTGGGACTACAGGCACACGCCACCACACCTGGCTAATTTTTCCATTTTTTTGTAGAGAAACAGTCTCCCTGTGTTGCTCAGGCTGGTCTGGAGCTCCTAACCTCAAGCAGTGCTCCCACCTCGGCCTCCCAAAGTGCTAGGATTACAGGCATGAGCCACTATGCCCAGCCCAGGAAAAACTTCTCGTATTCTCAAATACGTTTACTTTCCTACCATGCTATATAGAACTACGGTATTAATATTTGATGGCTAAGGATATGAATTGTACCTGTGTTATTTTAAACACCATGATTCTAGACATATAGACATAAAGCAGATGTAGGAAATGAAGCTGACCAAAGCAAACCTTTCAGAAGTAGGGTGGTGGCTCATGCTTGTAATCTCCGCACTTTGGGAGACTGAGGTAGGAGGATCGCTTGAGGCCAGGAGTTCAAGACTAGCCTGGGCAATGTAGTGAGAACCCCATCTTAAAAAAAAAAAAAGCCAGCGGTGGTGTGTGCCGTAGTCCCAGCTGCACAGGAGTCTGAGATGGGAGGGTCGCTGGAGTTCAAGGTTACAATGGGCTATGATCATCCCACTACAGTCCAGCCTGGGCAACAGAGCAAGACCCTGTCCCTATAAACAAGAAAAAAAAGTAGATATTTTTAATAAAATTCTCAAGTTCTTTTTTTATTCTCTTCTTAGTACAGAATGATTTGGAGGCACATATAAGAAATGTTTACCGCATCAAAATGTGTGCAATACACTATCATGAGTCTTTGTAATGCAGCATACAGGTAGAAAGCCGTGGTTTAAGTTTCCTTTAAATAGTGCTAATTACTGGTAGAAGCTTTTAGGTTGGTGTATTTTCTTTTCCTTGGTAAACAGTAACCACCAGGGGAAAATTATAAGCCACGTGAGGAACAGAGTTAATCAACAGTGTTATGGCTCATTTATCTGTATTTACTTAAAATTTTGCTTGAATAAATTCTGGGCTAGGGAACCCTACCCTCCCCCCCCACACACACACACAAAATACAATGAAATATTACAGATGAGATCTGAATTTTATTTACATCCATTTCCATTCGATATATCACATCCTCAGGATAGGCGGTAACTTACTTAAAGGCTATGCCCATTTTCTTCAGGCTATGGGTAGAAGACTCCCCAGAATAGCAGTAAGTTTGTTGATCTGAATGATTGAAGCCTTCAAGATAGGGATAACTGCTGCAGGAATTTTTTCCTTGGTTTGAAGAATTTAATCTGTTTAGCAGGAATTCTGTAACTTTACATACCCTTGAAATACTATTCATGTAAAAATAATTGTTTGTCTTCTAGCCAGACACAGACTCAATTAGTTCTTCAAATACTTCAGCCATGGCAGTATTTTATTTGGGAAATAATATAAGACAGAATTGTTCAACGCATAACTTCTCTTGCTATTAACATTTACACTTCACCTGCCAAAAATAGTAACTTAAATTTCTTGTAGAATGCATCATAGGAGAAAGCAGTGATACCAAGAGGTCAAAAAAATTGCATTCAGAATATATTTTACTTCAGTAGTTTAAAATGGATATTAGCCTGTAATTATGAGCAATAGTAACTTTTATGCCTCCTGTCTTGTCTAATAATATATTCTCCATACTAACTGGCTATATATTCTATATGGCAGAAGTTGCTAGTTTTCATTTTTCTGCCAACAAGAAAAGTGTACTTTTATTTATGGGAAAAGGATTGAAATACTCCTAGAGATATTTTTTTTTTTAATCTAAAGCTTGATTTTCTCCCAGTAAAAATTCTGCTTGCTTTCTAAAAAGGTTTTTTTTTTTCTTTTAATAAGATGTCAATAATTACCACTATTTTTTCCAGAAAAAATTAAATGCTATGCTCTATATTATTGTAATATTTTGGTGATACTGTCGCTTATTTTTGATATCTTTAATATTTTTTACATCATGAGACATCATTATTTTTCCTGATTGTCATCTAAAGGTGAGCTAATTATCTTTATTTGCCTTAAAAAATATTTTACTGGCTGGATATTTAATCTTGTTAGTTTTGTTATACACTTGTTTTAGTCTAGTTTAATTTAAGTCAAAAGAATCCTAGCAGTATGGTGTAAAGCTCAGATTTTCTGGTCTAAATAAGTCAAGACCTCTATAAGCTATTTGGCCGATTGAGTTGGAGGCATTCATTTTAACTTTATTGTTCTGTACTTAAACTATGTAGTCATAAGCAATTTATCAAAACAAAGAATAGAGATGAAGGCATTTAAATGGACTACAAATGATTCCGACTTGTAAACTAGGGAGGCCTCTTGTGTTAGACCTTAAAGATCAGAGAAAAAGGTGAAGGCAGTTTGACTTAATCACTACCACCCAGATTATAGGTTACATCAAACTTCCTTTAATTCTCCCAGAATTGCTCTTAGAGCTAGGTGTCATCATTAGCACGTTGTCGCTAATGATATAAACAAGAACATATATGTAATCAGAGGTGGGAAGTCTTTGGAGGTTCCTTAAACTGGTTTAAAAAAGAAGATTGGGAAAGAAACAAGACTAAACCAACACGTTACTCAGCTTTGAAGGTAAAACCAGGAATGGTTTCCATTTTGCATCTTAATAGACAAATCTAAAGCTTATAAGCAGATGAGACAGTATTACTGGTTCTACAGGGAATTGGGAGCTAGCTATAGACTACTGATATGTGGGTAAATTTCCCCATTTATCACTAGAGTGACTAAGTGCTGTACAAAGCTGTCCTGGTATTCAGGTGCTACAATATTAGGAAAACAACCAGGCCAATCTCCATTCAACATCATTTCTTACTTTGTTTGAATACTATTGATTGATTGATTGACAGGATCTTGCTTTGTCACCCTGGCTGGAGTGCAGTGGCATCATCATAGCACACTACAACCACAAACTCCTGGGCTCAAGCAATCTTCCTGCCTCAGCCTCCCCAGTAGCTGGGACTATAGGCATGTGCCACCATGCCTGGCTAATTGAATACTAATCATTTGTATTACTTTTTCTTAAGTATCATTTAGCACATCACACCAGCACAATGATACCTCCAGCTGGTCTTATTGTACAGAAGTTATAAATAGCATATACAACCTTCCCCTGCCCCCTTCCCCATAAGCATTACACATGTTACATTCAGACAGTAACATTTCCCTATATATAGTGCACAGATACATTAAAAACATTTAAGAATTATATAAAATCGTACATTACATGAAGTAGAACCATAAAGATTATCCTAAATATAAGTACAGATAAAATGCATGCAGAGTGAGCCCCTGTGGGATATATAATTTCATTTTAAGTTTATATTTCCTGCAGGATAGTAGCATACATCTTTTCCTACCCAGAGGCAAAATATATTTTCCAAAAATTTGGACACTGCCCACTAAATTAAGTTTAAATTAGAGTATGCAAACAAACTTACAACACACTCCATTTTTTTAATATATCAAAAATATTTCCAAACTGGAGACCATCCTCCTAAGTATGGCAAGAATGGAAAAACAAACACAACATGTACTCACTATTGTTTTGGAACTAAATGATCAACGCTCACGTGTACATATGGTAGTAAAATTCAACGGAAATCAAGCAGGTAGTGGTGGGGAGAGGAGGGATGGTTAAGTTCACACCTAATGGGTATAATGCACACTATCTGGGTGACAGACATACAACTTTGACTCAAACTGTACAAAAGTAATTCATGTAACCAAATCATTTGTATGTACCCCTGTAATATTCTGAAATTAAAAAAAAAAGTTTCCAGGCAACATTATTAAAATGATTATACCACAGTCTATAATATAACATCAAGCTCTAATTGGAAGATACAGAAAGGGCAGAAAGGTTTCGTCCAGTCAGTGGTTTAGGTGCTCTTCTTTTCTTCACCCAGTAAATTCACGGTAGCTTTCTTGGCTATTAGGAGGGAAAGAAAAATATATCAAAGCTCTTTGCAATGCAAGCTCTGTGCCTAAATGTAGCTATTAGATAACAAAACTTGGATGACTCACGCTCAAGTGAGAGAGCACTGAGGGGCTAAGAGGGTTTCTAGGAAGTGGACAAGGTACCTCTTTCAGAGCACAAATCCTGAATACTTGAACAAAATTTTTCAAGACTCATCTGGCCTAGCCCCTTGTGACAGCATCACCTAACCTACCTACCCTCTGTCCTTTAAGCATCAAAAGAAGCAGAGATTGCTTAGGAGTAGTGTTCCTTTGTATAATCAAATTCTTGTTTGTATCTGGGTGGTTAACTGTTAAGATTTCACTACATTTCAATGTGGTGACAACTAGGTTATCGTATTTATCCCATGGTGACAAAAATCAGAGAAAGTCCTCTTTCTCAGCACCAGAAATACATCCGTATCTGTGCTGGGGGAGGCACTGGTTCCAGGACCACTGCAGGTACCAAAACCCTCGCGTGCTCAAGTCCCTCATATAAAATGGTGTAGTCTTTGCATATAACCTATGCACATCCTCCCATATACTTTAAATCTTTAGTTTACTTATAATACCTAATACAACGTGAATGCCATGTAAATAGTTGTCATACTATATATATATATATATTTTTTTTTTTTAGAGACAGGGTCTTGCTCTGTTGCCCAGGCTGGAGTGCAGTGGTACAATCACAGCTCACTGTGCCCTCGAACTCCTGGGCTCAAGTGATCCTCCTGCCTCAGCCTCACAAAGTGCTGGGATTACAGGCGTGAGCCTTGTATTGTTTTTATTTCTATTTTTTGCGAATACTTTCAATCTGTGGTTGGTTGAATCTGCAGATGTGGAACCCGAGGATGTGGAGGGCCAACAATTATACTCTCATTGCGCCACTATTCCCTATGATGGGAAGAGTTTACCACAAGTCTTCAAGTTAGTGGCAAGATAACTACATTCATCAAGAAAATATTCTTACATCTGTGAGAGACTAAGCCTTCCCCTTTCTAATTACCAAGTGGCTGGGAATGTGCCATGAGGACTAGTGTGGGGTGTGAGATGGAGGGGGAAGAGGTTGTCTGGGCGCCTCCTATGAAATTCTACAAACTGCAATCATTGGTTGGTTGGTTGGTTTATTTGTGTACACGTACACACACACACACACACACACACACACACACACACACACAGTCTCACTCTGTTGTAGTGGCATCATCATAGCTCACAGCAACCTCAAACTCCTGGGCTCAAGTGATCCTCCTGCTTCAGCCTCCCGAGTAGCTGGGACTATAGACGCGTGCCACCACGGCCAGCTAATTTTTTTTCTATTTTTTGTAGAGACCAGTCTCGCTCTAGCGCAGGCTGGTCTCAAACTCCTGGCCTCAAGCAGTCCTCCCGCCTTGGCCTCCCCGAGTACTAGGATCACAGGCCTGAGGCATTGCACCCAACCTGCGGCGGTTTTTGTTGGAGCTTAGAATCTCAGTGATGAGAGCCAAGGAGTCCCTCCTTGTCCAACAGCTGCCTGACTGCTGCTCTCCCTTCACTCAATTAAAATTGCTGAACAGAGTTAACAACAAAGAAGAAACTGCAGTCTCTCTCTTAGACAACCCTGTGTAAAAATTCCTAGTGAGTCCAAAAGCTTTGAGAAAAGTCTAAAATGTGTCAAAGCATGTGAATTCCTCCTTATTTTAATTCTCATGCCCCTGTTTAGGAAGGTATCATATCAAAGTAAAATTGCATTTTAGAATATTGCTATCCAAGAGAACCAAGAGGTTAAGAAACGTGGGTGAACTAGACAGAAATGGCATCACCAGAGGTTGCTGGTTAGGCTAAGGGCAGGGAAGAACAGAGCAGCTCTTGGAAAGAAACTGGCGATCCTAAGGTGGGAGGATGTGAAGGCTGTAAGTTAAAAAACACTTAGAATTGTAGAAAAACATATAGGAGTCCAGAGGAGAGAGGTCTGTGAGGGAGAAATGGGGGAATGGACCGCCTCTGGGGTGTCAGTGCTGCTGGAGAAACTGTCTTGGTGGGATCTCACTTCCCCAGTGGTCAGGACACTTCTCATCTCCCATGTTCTAACTACCACAGAGCTCTTTAAAAAAATTTCCATATTCTATGTCCACTGCTCACCTCTCCAATTTCTAAAACCCTCTGGACCTAAAGACCTTCATTAGCAAAATCACTATCCTCATCCATTCCTCCGAGTGTTTCCTTTACTTTATTGCTCTTAGAGAAATCTGGCTGCCCTCTGAGGACATTGTTTTCTCAAGTGGTGGCTGGTTTTTTTCTCCCATGACCCCAGTACCACTGGGTCTGGAAGTCTGGTAGATGCTGTCTTTGTTCTTCATTGCCACTTTCAGAATCTCGTGTCATCAGATTTGATCACTCACTAGCCTTCCCTTCCCCAGTCATCTCTGACTCTTGAGCTACTCTGCCTCATTTCTTGAACATTTTAGCTCCTAACTTAATGTCATTCTCCAACACAACTCCTGTTTTAATTATTGGTGATTTTAATATCCATGTATATATACATGATCTTTCTAATATCCCTCCCCTCCAATAACCTTTATGTTCCATCCTACCTACAGAAAAACTTTGCCAGTCTTTGTCCTACACAACTATTAATATTTCATGCCTTCTCCTCTTTCCAACATCTCCTTCCTCATCCTCTCTGAGCTGGCCTCCTTTCTTCGCACTTCACTGAGAAATTTGAAGCAATCAGAAAAATCCCTTCTGTACGCTCCCACAGTCACATGTAGCCACCTAGCAGCATCTCTGCCTATACACCTTCATTTTCTTCCTGTTATCATAAACTTCCAACTCTGAACAAACCCTCTATTTGTACGCTAGATCCTGCCTCTGCTCCACTCAAGGACAAAGCTCCAGCAATTCACCCTGTCACTCCTATCATCATTTTTTGCTCTCCATGGGATTATTCCCATTAATTTTCAACAGGCATTTTTTAAAGACCCTAGTTCCTTCTTCCAGTTACAGTCCCATTCTGCTCCCTTTTGCAGGAAATTTCTCAAAAGAATTATCTATATTCTCTCATTTCTTTTCTCCTACTCTCTCAAATCCATTCCAGTCAGGTGTTGGTTCCCACCACTCCACAAAATGTGTTTTGTCAAAATCACTAGTGCCTTCCTCATTGCTAAATCCAACGGTCAGTTCTCAGTCCTTATCTTACTTGACCTGTCTGCGGAATGTGACACAATGGATCACTTCCTCCTCTTTGAAACACTTGCTTTACGTGGCCCCAAGATACCTCACTCACATAGTTTTCTGGCCACTCCTTATCAGTCCACTTTGCTGGTTGCTCCTCATCTTCCCAGCCTCTGAACATGACAGTCCCCAGGGTTCAGTCTTCAGACAGCCTCTTTCCTAACCACACTCACTCCCTTAGTGATCTCATCTGGTCTCATGCTTAATACACTGTTTACAGGCTGGTGAACCCTATATTTATATTGCCAGTGCAGACCTATTTCATGAACTCTTGACATCTGTATCCAACTGGCTGTCTGAATACTCCATGGAGTAGGTATCTAACACCTCAAACTTATGTCCAGAACTTAATTCCGTATCTTCCCCCAGAATCTGTTCTACCCAGTTTTCCCCAGCTCAGTGGCAATTCTGCCCATTCATTTGTTCAGGCTAAAAAGCTTGACCCCTCTCTTAGACTCTGTGCCCCCTCCATAAGCAAATCCTATTGGTTCTACCTTTGAAATACATCAAAAATCTGATCCTTCTTACCCTCTACTGCTACGACTATGAGCCAAACCACGGTCATCATCTCTAGCCAGATCACTGCAGTAACCTTTTGACTGGTCTCCCAATTCCTCCCTTGTCCCCCTTTAGTCTATTCTTAACACGGTGGCCACAGTCATCTTATTAAAACACAGAACACATCATGTTGCTCCTCTGCTCAAAGTTCCCCAGTAGCACCTCATCTCACACAGAGTGAAAGCCAAAGCCAAGGCATTATGTGATCTGTCTTCCAGCCTCAGCCCCGACCTCTCTGACCTTATCTCCTCCTACTATCCCTGGAGATTACTTCCTCTGTTGCTTCCACCTCAGGGCTTCTGCATATGCAGCTCCTTCTAGAACAGTCTTCCCCACAGTTCCTTCTTTTGCCACTTTCAAGTCTGATTCAGTGCAGGCTTCTTGGTGAAATTTCTTCTAAATTTCTCTATTTGGAATTGTAACCATCTTTCTACTTGCTTCATTTTTCCCTATATCATCTGTTAAATGTACTATATCATCTGCTAAATATAACTTTTCCCTATATCATCTGCTAAATATAACTTTTACATTTTATTGTCTATCTCTCAACTAGACTGTAAGCTTCATGAGTTCAAGGAGTATGGAGTATGGCCTTTTTGGTTCACTGCCAGTTCTACAAACACGGTTGGCACGTATTAAATACCTTGATAAATAAATATTTGTTGAATAAATGAATCAGAGGAGCTGAGAAAGACAGCATTCTTTTGGCCCCATAAAATTTGAACAGCACACTAAACAGGTCAGCCTGAACTGAACTAGAAGAGATTGTACTTGTAAAATATAGACGATTCTCTAAAATCTCTGCCTACCAAGGGAAGTCATTTTTCCTAACATGCTGACTAAATACTGCATTCAATATGGCATGGAGGAAGACTCTTGGGAAAAGTAAAGGGCAACAGGCAAAGTCTTTGTAAAAAATCCCAGAGTTAGCTTTGGCATTTGGCTGAGGAAAGCTGATAAGGTAAGAAGGCCACGAAGCCTGTTATTTGAGCCCAGTGTATCACATCTCTTCTCATATGTTTAACCAAGTTGTCCCTGAGTCTTACCTTCTTTAGTGATGGCATCTGCAGTCTCTTTGGCTTTGTCTTTCAGGTCCTTAACCACACCGTCCAGCTGGGACTCATGCTTCAGGAAGAAAGGACGGATGATGCGCTTGTAGAGCAGTTCTGCCCCGTTAGAAGGGCTCGGGGCCATGCACCACAGCAGGAAGCCACACTGCACAGAGTAAGAGCCAGCATTGGTAACAGAAGGGTGGGGCATTCTGAGAATACACACTGCCCACCACTGCCCTGAGAATAGTAATGCCTCCGATATTTTTTCCAAAAGCATTTCCAGTGTTTTCTGCAGGCTAAAGGTGGGTTTTTCTTAGATGGAAAAAACATAACAAGTAATGAGCTAGTAAGGAAAAGCTGATACTGGGGAAAAAAAAAAAAAAGTAAAACACACCAGCTCCAGCAGCTTAATTATCTTCCTAATTTGGACCACTTTTTAGTTTATAGCTATAAAAGGCTTTTATTAATTATAACTCTTAAAAACCATTTTAAGGCCGAGCACGGTGGCTCACGCCTGTAATCCTAGCACTCTGGGAGGCCGAGGCGGGCAAATGGTTTGAGCTCAGGAGTTCGAAACCAGCATGAGCAAGAGCGAGACCCCGTCTCTACTAAAAATAGAAAGAAATTAATCGGACAACTAAAAATATATAGAAAAAATTAGCCGGGCATGGTGGCGCATGCCTGTAGTCCTAGCAACTCAGGAGGCTGAGGCAGGAGGATCGCTTGAGCCCAGGAGCTTGAGGTTGCTGTGAGCTAGGCTGATGCCATGGCACTCTACTCAGGGCAGTAGAGTGAGACTCTGTCTCAAAAAAAAAAAAAAAAAAAACCATTTTAAGAAAATATAATACTTATCTGCATGTATAAAGCCCTGTACAGATAAGCCTAATAGCTGAGGCTTGTTCTCAGTAGGTGTACCTTAGCTAAGTTTGTCTCATTTATTCATCCTATTATAGAACAAAATACCCTGCCCATTCTCGAATTCTTCCCTTAGTGGAACCTCAGGTTTTGGTAGATATTTAGCCTTCAAGGAATCTTTATAGCTGTTTATCATCTTGAACCTTGAATGTAGATATTATTCTTAACTCTTTTCTTTATGGCTCTACTTTGCCACTGGGATACAAAATTGACAAGAATTCTGCCCTAATAACTTAAAACATAAGAACTGTCACATTATTTATGTAACAAAAAAATTTTACTATTTATTCAAATAATATAAACTGAGCACTTTAAGTCATCTAAGTAACTTATACTTCTATAAGATAAAGAGCAAAAAAGGAAATATTCAGAGTGATTTGCTCATTTCCCTAGAAAGTTTAATAAACAATATACTAGGTTATTTTAGTTTAAAAGATTCTAACCCTATTGTATTCCATACAGCCTAGGTGACTCTGCATAAAACAGAAGTCACTTCCAGGGATTCCAAATCTGTATGATTATTATTATCATCATTATTATTTTTACAACTTCTCCTTAAAGTAAAAATCTCTCAACTTTTTTTTTTTCCTTGAGACAGGGTCTCACTCTGTTGCCCTGGCTAGAGTGCAGTGGCGTCATCATAGCTCACTGCAACCTCCAACTCCTAGGCTCAAGCGATCCTCCTGCCTCAGCCTTCCAGAATGCTAGGTAGGATTAACAGGTGTCAGCCGCCATGCTGGCCTCTCAACTTCTTAAGCCTGAAATTGAACTCTATAGCCTTAGTCCTTGTTATTTCAAACCAAGGAATATATTCAAATAATCAAGAACCTATATTGTCTTTCTTAAGATAGTCTTTTAAGTTTGCTCTAGAGATGGAAACCTGATAAGGAACGAACACTAGTGACACAGTTTGAGCTTAAAATGCACAAATAGCTCACTCCATCAGCACCATGTTGGGTCTGAGAAATTTATGTTACATTTTCAATTGTTATTACACTCACAAAACAAAACTCAGTTTCTCAACAGATTAATCTTTCTGGATTATCTCAACTACAGGACTCTGAAAAAGTAACATTCATGAATTACTTTGATTTGTTACAGATGCATGAGAGCTTTTAAAAGACAGAGACTATCAGACTAAATTTTTTAAAAACTCAAAACTATAGCTATATGCTTAAAAAAAAAAAACCCAAAACAAAACCAATTACGATCACTGAAAATAAAGTTATAGAAAAGATGTTTTAAACACCAACTCCCAAAATAGCTCATATAGCAATATTAATACATAAACATTACTTAAGGCAAAATAAATAAATAGAATGATAAAAGAAAATAATTCACCAAGAATACTAAAATTCCTGAACTTACATATACACCATTGAAATATATAAATTATATACAGCTTTGTATATATTTGTAATTTTATATTTTTATTTTATAATTACATATAGCTATAGATAGCTTTCAAATATGGCTTTGAAATATGTAAACTTAAAAGTCATAATTATATAAATGGACAAGATCCACAATCATAGATTTTAATACTTCCATCAGAAATAGATATATCAATCTAGAAATTAGTAAGAATACAGAACAAAGAACACAAAATTTAAAATCTTGACCTAAAGATATACACAGATCTCTCTACCCAACAAACAGGGATTCTAAGAGTTAGTATATTATCCAGAGGGTAAGAGGATGGGCTCAGAGAAACTAAGCTCCAATCCTGGTTCTGCCACTAAGTAGCTGGGCAAACCTTATGCAAGTTACTTAATTGCTTAAGTGTGTTTTTCCCTCTATAAAATAGGTATTAATTGAAAACTTTAAAAATCTAGCTGTATAATTTTGTAAGAAAATTATATTTTGTAAGAAAATATTGTATATTTTGTAAGAAAATAAAAACATTTGGAGTATTGAGCATAGTAGGGGATTTGACTCTGTCCCAGGAACACTGTGTCTTCTACCAACATCCATGAAACAGTAACAGGCTAATTTATTAGCTTTAAATAGGGTAAAAAATCTCAGAACTGACTATATATAGAGTGAGAGAGAGTTTTTTTTTTTTTTTTTTTCTTTCTTAGAGACAGAATCTCATTTTGTTACCCAGGCTTGAGTGCAGTGGCATGATCATAGCTCACTGTAATCTCAAACTCCTGGGTTCAGGCGATCTTCCCACCTCAACCTCTTAAGTAGCTAAGACTAGAGGCCTATATTTTTTGTGGAAAAGGGGCCTTGCTATGTTGCCCAAGCTGGTCTTGAACTCCTGGCCTCAAGTGATCCTCCTGCCTCAGCCTCCCAAAATGCTGGAATTATAGACATGAGCCACTGAGCCCAGCCAGAACCAACAATATTTAAACAAATGTTTTGGAACTCTTCTTTTATTACCTGAAATGAAATTCAAAGTAATGATATACTTACATAATTACAAAAAAATCAATATACTACTAACTGCAATATAAAAGAGAAATAAAATGAAAGTAATTAATAGTAAAATATGTAGATGTAGATATACAAACAAAACTATACTAGAAAATGCCATAAAATACTCATAAGTAGAATCAGTGACTGTAACAGCTACAAATAAAATCCTCCATATCTTCTCAAAAGGTTGAGAATTTTTGGACTGGAGGAACTACACCGCACTCAACTGAACACAATTACTGCCGTAATCTCCAAGTTACGATTTTAAGGCAGCCCTCCCTTCGCCTTTCCCACCCCTCACATCTAACAGACTCCAGAGCTCCTTTCCTGAGTGCAGATCCTGGAATACAGGATGTTCAGAGTTAGGAAAGGAAGGGGAGGGAAAGCATGACAGTAGGAGACAAAAGGGTAAAGATTCACACCAGCATCGAGTAGCCTCACGACACATGTATAGGAATGCCACGTACATGAATACACAGCCAGGCAAAAACTCACACGCACACAATGGCGGACTGAGACCTTCTGCCAAGTAGGTCCAAGTACTCAAACGAAGCCAATACCTTGAGATACCCTCAGTATTTGTGGGTAGTTCCATGTTTACTGTTAGTTTTCCCAGCAACTCTGCTCTAACATCCCCTGGGGTTGGCCAGCAGATCTTAGTGAATTAAAAGATGTTGTCAGAGAGAACACTGGTTTTCTGAACTACACATTTGCATTAACCCAAAATGGAGAACTAAATGACTGCATTTTTCACTGGCTCTAGGTTTCATTTCCTTGGCTTAGTGCCAGGTTAATTACAGCAGCCCCTGCAGACCACCACCTCTCTAGTTAACATTTCCCTGTGGAAGCTTTTTGGTTTTTAATGTCCGAACTTCATACAGTGTTTTCTGGTGGTTGCTTATACAGGAAACACTAATATATACATACCTCAAACTCAATACAATATTTTAAACAAAATGATGTACAAGAAATGTCTTGAGTTACATTTTTGACAGAAAGAACATCAGAATCCCTTGTGGACATTTTCAATAGTATGTAGAGTATCAAAGGTGTGCTGTGTACTACTGCACACAACGCAATAGTTTCTTATAGACTGTATTAACTATTTGTACAGCAGGAAGTGTTTTTAGCATCTAACATCCTAATATGATATTTGTTATATGTAGGTACTTTGCTGTGTTTTGTTAATAGTTAGGAAGTTGGTTGGGAGTTTTCAACTGACATGTACTACATTTTAATTTTTCTCATTTAAAATGGAGCAAAATAAGCATCTGGCTGGTATTCTTACACAGAATGTCTGATTTTCAGGAATGGATTATTGATAGAGAGACAGATACCCATATTGTAACCACAGGCATCAAGATGAAGTGGAAATGACTCACTGGATGAAGAATCAGGAGAGGTGGGGTCTATTTTATGACTTTAGGTAAATCAACTTCTCTAAGAGACAATTTTCTCTTCTGCAGGGTTTTAGGAATTAATGTACTTGAAGAAAGTATACAAGATAGTAGTAGTATTACCAAATCCTAAAGTTCTTACTGGTTGTTGAAAATCTCTGAAATATTATCTGCCCATATAAATACCAACCTTTCAACAATCCAGATAAACCAATTATCTTTTCTGGATGAATTAATTTGTATCTACATTTTTGTGCCTCTTCAATGTGATTACTGTCTAGGCTGCACTCCAGAATCTTAATTTACTACTTTCCAGTACCCTCTAGCTATTGTCTTGAGACAGTAAAATAATTACTGCTTTCAACCTAAATCCTTAGCATTTTCCAGTTCTTAAATCAAATCATTTTCTTATATTAAAAATAAAGTTAAT